CTTCATTAAGCCAAACGGGTCATATTGACCCCACCCCTTTTCACATAAACATGACGTGTTGCTATAGCAACGCCTTTTGTCTACTGCGGTTCCCACTACTGACTGTAGTGAATGAGTGCGCTCCCGCTCACCGGAGACTGCTCGCGCTGCGCTCCGCAGCAAACAGCTGTGGGGCAATTTTAAAGTACGTTATGCTGGCCGGGGTGTCTAAATAATGCTTCCGGGCCAGCGGGCCATTTATAATGTCGAGCCCTGTTCATATGAACAGCTGAGACTCCACAGATCAGGTCAGAGGTCCTGGCGATCCACTAGCAAAACAAACCTCCAGTAGGCTATTAACCTTACTGTTTTTACTAACAGTAACCAACTAATAATTTTCATAAAGTGCATATTTATTCCAAACTCACAATATATATATCCTTCCAGTAATAAAACGTAATGCACAATGCAATGGTACACAGTATCCAAAGTCTTTAGGCACTGGTTAGAGGCATTCATGTAAAGCAGATCGCCAGAATCCAATACTGGTAAAAACGTTACAGAGATCAAATGTTTCCTTGTCTGAAAGGAGAAACCTAATTTTAAAACAACATTTTCAGTGTGTGGCTTGAAAGATAAAGCGATACACCTCCTTTATCCTCTGAGGAAAATGTTGAACTCTCTCTACCTTGGGGCTGGAATATGTAAAGTGCATGTATACATTTCTTAGAGACATGTATTAAATCAGTTTCCGACGAAAGGTAAACATACGTCATACTATGCAATAATCAACAGAGTAGGAGACAGGCATATCTCGTTACTTCACAATAAGGTAGATCAAATACGAGTGAGTTCAATCATAATTTACGTCTGTTTAGGTTTAGTAATATAACAAGTACTTGCCCGTCTTTGCGCACTTGCTCAAACAACAGGGGTTGGTAACACATCGACAAGTTCCCTGACTGTCCAACTGTACTTGTCCAGGTCATCGTAAGTGTGTTATATACGATCCAAACATACATAANTCAGCAGGAGAGGACTCTTTAAAGTAGAGACACTACATACTGATATACACCTGAACATCAGCAGGAGAGGACTCTTTAAAGTAGAGACACTACATACTGATATACACCTGAACATCAGCAGGAGAGGACTCTTTAAAGTAGAGACACTACATACTGATATACACCTGAACATCAGCAGGAGAGGACTCTTTAAAGTAGAGACACTACATACTGATATGAAACCAGAAAACAAGCAAAATAGGGCCCCTTTAAAATAATAAAAAACGAAGCTTAAATTACAAAATTGGATGCTGATTTGGGAGCCATACAGTTAGAAAGCATTAGTGGGGGTTTTATAGATTCAACTTGAGGTTCTGCACGTGTTGCAGTAGTGGAAAGAGAAGCTCACCCATGTCCAGACCTGAACAGCACATTTAACCCAGTTCTCTCATGAAGTGTTTATATGGTGACGTGTTGGGTTAAAAAAGAAATGGTGACAGTGATAGTCAGAAACAAGTCTGAGCAAGAGAACCAGCCTCATCTGAAGACGTGGTGATGGATGTGTATCTGAGGTCAGATGTTTACAGATGTGTTGATTATTGCTAATGTTACAGAGGGATTTACAGTGTTTCTGGGCGGAGAGTTCAAGTGTTGCTGGGAAATTAGAGCACTCAACGCAGGAAATGAGAGGAAAAAATGTAGCCATGCAGTGCAAACAGATTTCACAGATGAGGTCATTAGTGAAACAAATGCTGCTAATGAAAGGGCTTATGGGAAAAGGGAGAGGGGGAGAGAGGGGGAGAGAGGGGGAGATACTGTAATGAAAGTAATGGATGAAAAAACAGAAGGGGGCGACAAAATAATATTTAAAAAAGGGAGCAATGATTGAGGAAAGACAGATAAGAGAATAATGAATGATGTGACGAAGGAGGGAAGGTGTATGGATATAGGAAGGGTTGACACGTGGAAAAGAAGGGAGGGAGACACAATGATAAAAGAGAAGGGTGCCACATGGAGAAGATATGATAGAAAATGAGAAAATGAAATGAAAAACAACAAAAGGGAAAGTCAAAAGTATAAATAAATAAGATTTAAGTTGGCTGGATGTTTAATGATGTCCTTTGCATTTGTAAAGTGTCTTAAAAGCACTCTGTAAATAGATAAACAGCAAGTATATAAATACTAAGAAAGAAAGGATTATAAAACTAAGTAAATGCACTGACCCTCTCTCTCTCTCTCTCTCTTTACTCCCTCTCCTCTCTGACCTGTCGCTGAACAAACTGCTGCAGAAATGTCACTTTGGTGACGGAGGGCAACGACCCGCTGAGCAAACCAAAGATTACCACAGAAGAAGAAACCCTAAAGCACACAGTTCAAACATCGCTCTGATTAAAGTCCTGTCCAGCAGCGGAGATAAAACCCCTCTTTTCAACGATCAGACACTCAAAGTGCTTCCACATTGCATCCTCTGATCATCCCCACATTGTTGGCCTGCGTTCACACACTCATGCAGACTTTTTATTCCAATATAAAACATGATGTGACTTCCTAAGCAGGAGTAAATGCAACAACTGCTTTCACCTTGAATTATGAAATCAGCGTTTAATGAGCGTGCCGCAGCAGAGAGGAGCTTCCTGACATGTTGGCACTCATCCCCGCCGCACATGAGCTCCAGCATGTCGCATTTCCACAACAGCCCGTCTCATAAAAGTACAGCTGGATACGGCTGTTAGTCATTATTATCTAAATATTTCATTTGCAGGTTTTTTTCTAAAGTAGAGGTTCCCCCTTTCCCTGAAGGAACTCCTTTCTGTCATTGAGTAGACTAACCCCGATTAGGCGACATATTTAATGCATGTTTTTATATTTAATTCAGTGCACAACAAAAACAGCTGAAATACAAATGGATATAAAACAACAAGAAGCAGCAAATCCTCACATTTGAGCATTTTGGATTAAAAGTCCCATGTCATGCTTTTCCGGTTCTTACCCGTCCCCTTGTGTGTTATGTAGCTTTCTCTGCATGTGAACGGTCTGCAGAGTCAAAACCCTCAAAGTACACCCTGTAGGGAGTACAACTCTAACACAGAGAAGACCTGTCTATGCTGCCCCAGAACGCCTCGTTGGAGATTTTCTTTTTCCATTGTTTGCTTCCTGGGTTCTGTGACGTGTGAACACCCAAATCAACAACAAATGACCGGATTGGCCCAAATGGACCAATCCGCGGAGCCCCTCACTCACCAGGATCCCTTGGCTAACTAACAGGGAGTCCCATTGACTTGCATAGAGCTCCCTGGTTGGTAATAGACTTTACCTCACACTGACTATATACAGTATTGATTGTCCTTCCTCCTTATCTTCCAACCATTTGGACGCAGACTAGCATTTCCCCATAACGATGTTGTTTAACAACCGGCGTAAACGGACCTTCGTGCTATCGAGCAGTGAGCGTGAGATGTCCTGTTCAGTTGACGTCAAATCCAACGGGATGCCATAAATAAACTACACAGAATCACACTACACACCTACGCAATGATTACATTCAGGCAGACTGTAGAATACAACCTCTTTGGACAATTCATATACTTATTGAAAACAAGCTACAAAATGTAATACCTTGTAAAAATGCTGTTTAATACTTTTTAATAGCCTTCATTTTCG